AATTTGCTTGTTGTTACATTAGAAGTGTAAAAAGGTTAATGCAATTTTAAAAATGTCTATTTGACATTTTCATATCCTTGTAAGGAAGTGAATATTATATCAATCCCCACACAGGAGAGCAGGACGCTAAAGTTTACTAGATGATTTTCCTAAAAAAATAAACACATAAATCTACACATTGAATCCCTTTGAGTACTTTACTTCCTCTTACAAGTTCAGCAACTAACGCCCCGACAGCCACGTGAATGGAATTTCATCATTGTGTGTGTGTGTGGGTGTGTTTGTGTAACAATACATGTTGGCAGTGTTGTGGAGTAGCGAACTACATGCAATTAAACTAGCAGTTTAACTATATTTTGCAGTAGCTTGCTGGCAGTTCAACTACATTCATATGTGCATAGTGAGTCAAGAGGTTAAATTACTTTTTTGTCTTTTTCTGTGTAAATAACTACTGAAACTACAAACTGTTATTTAGACCAGAGTTCAAACATTCACACTGTCTAAAAGTAAAAAGATCCAAATAGAAGACTAAGTCATTAAGACTGTGCAAGTCAGATGTTACAAACTGACAAACTGACAAGTGAGACAACAGGCCCATTCTTTCAGAGTAGTTGGTCAAACAGTCTAGGAAGGTGCAAGGTAAATATTTCTCTTTGCTATTTTAGTTGTAGTCAAATAACACAAAATCAAAATTTGTTTCCAACATAATATAGGACTCACAATCTTTGCAATTTTGTCTATGCGAAAAGCCCAGATGGGATTGTTTTGTTCAGGACAGGTTTAGGTCTCAGGTAATAAACTGAACTCAGTGGCATTTGTTTATTTAGTTAAATGAATTAGATTTTTCCATTGGGGTTAGCTTCGCTGTAGCTCACCTTTTTCCGCTGTTAAGTAATTGGTAGTATGTAAAGCTATGTTTTAAAGGTAGTTTCCACACTGTTTACCACACAGAAGAGACAAAATGCTACCTGAGGATCTGAGAGTCAGACAACCTCGACATGGAAAATGTGAGTTATAACAAAACCGGGAAAAACCCATGCAAAAATCACTGACGTAGGAATTAAATGATAAGACTGTTTAAAAAGTGAGAGTTTATCTTTAGAGTATATAGCTGAGATAGCAATGATCAGGTATTTGAAAGATAAAGAGGTGTTTGTTGGGTACAAAGTCCCCTGGCTCCCTCATCAGCTGTAAACACTAAATAGTAGCAGTACAAATCATCATTCATTATCAAATCAGCAATCTTAAGTGAAGATCTGCTTCCCGCAGTGATATAGTTTTCAAAGTTACAAAGATAAGGAGCATAACACAGGCCAACAAACCCACAGAAAAGACGCTTAGGGGGATATTTACTAAGGTTTTGTTGCTCGGCTTTTGGTGCTAAGCAGTGAAATTGTGTGTTCATATTTACTAAGGAGTCACAGTGGGGTTTTGTGGTGGAGAAAAAGAAGAAAAGCAGCTCTGCTGCAGGTGTGACACCTGTTATTCATCCAAGATCTCCTTGGAGTTAAGGAGTTACATCACATCAGTCACCAGAGGACAATGTGAAGGACTTGTTATCACATCGGTCACCAGAGGACAATGTGTGGGACTTGTACAGGTTTTCAGGTCCAACCATGCTTCAATTACTGAAGGGAATAAAACATGATCTTACTGGCAGGAGGCTCCATAGGTTGATTTCTTCAACCGTATTAAAGTTCAGTCCCATCTCACTCTGGTGGATTTTACAAACTAAATTTGTGCCAAAATGAATCAGAAATTCTAACACATGCACAATGCTCAGAGGTGTGGGAGAAAGAATTTACTTGTGCCTCAGCACTCCTCCACTGGTTGATCCAGTTCTGATGTTCTTTAAGAGCTGCTGTGATGTCACTGTCCTGTAACTTTGCAAACCTGTTTTAAGTTTCACTTACACAGGAATAATTAATGCCATTGTTATTACAGGGCGTGGAGATTTTCATTGACTGCTGTTTACAAAGGAGTTGTGACACAATAGAAAGGACTTATTTTTAGTGAAGAGCACTGCTGATGAAAGTGCCTCTGAAATACCTGACGTGAAATAACTAATGTACAGAAATAACACCTTAATCGCTTTGCTGCCGGATAAATGTTTTGAATGAGACACAGAACTGCAGAAAAGTTTGTATCATAAAATGAGCGGTGAGACATGTGACCTAGACGTTATGATCATGGCAGAATAAACTTTTGACTTCCAAAATCTAATCAGTTCATCCTTGAGTCCCAGTGGACACGTGCCCTATTTGAAGAAATTCCTCAAGGGGTTCCTGAGATATCGTATTCAGGAGAATGGGCCGGACAGACAGAAAACCCGAAAACATAATGCCTCTGGTCAGTCCAGGAACTCAACCCCACATAAAAGGGGCCTTGGTTTTATGTTTCCATTGATCTGGAGAAATCAGGTCATCACTACTAGTAGATTACAGTATTTCCCATGCACTAACTTATCTGCGGCAGGCCACCATACAATCAACACTGACCGCCAAATATCGATTTAAAATTGGTTAAATCTTACTTCAGTCTAGTGCCATGCATAAGTGCATATACTCGCTTTGTCCCTCCATGCCCTGCTTTCCCTTTCTCACGCACACAAGCACAGATGACAGATCATCTGTGAACAGCTCCTCTTCCCCATGTTTAGTTTTTTTAACACAATGCTGTCAATCACAGTAAGCTAGCTAGGCTAGCTAAGCTAACATTAGAATAGAGCCGTTGCCAAGGTCAGTATGCTGTAAATAGCAAGGATGTATATGGACTGCTCTTTAACTCTGACGCTGAACAATTGCCCCCACAGTCCAGAGGAATATCAAAAAACATATGTGGGAAAGATGATCAGTCTTACCAGTGTGATCAGCAACCCAACTGATTCATTTTGAATATTTACTGGCTTCAGCCCGTGCTGCTAAAGCAGCAAGAGAGGGTCAGGAAGCGATACCTCCAGAGAGAGATGTGGGAGAGGAGGAGGGCTGCAGGAGAACCAGCAAGTGCAGAAAGGACAGGTCAAATGAACAGAACAACAGCTCAGAGGTATTGTACTATTACTATGTTTAATTTATAAAAAGATTTATGAAAGCATGAACCCACCCCCACCACCTCCACCCCCTTTTCTGTGAAAAACACTGGATTACATTTACAGTGAACAATTACATGTATACAAAATGACCTCATAACAGTGAGACCTGATCTGTGTATGAGGCCACTCACATATTGAAATCTATTTTTAAACAGCCTTGAAGATCTAAAAATAGCAAATGAGCTTAAAATAGCAGCAGCGGGACTGTCCAGGCATTTCAACTTCTGTTTTACAAAGGTGTGGTGTGCACTGCCACAACCCCATGACACGTCATCAGCTAATCTCATGAGTCCAAGGCTGTTGATTGTTTTCAATAAGTTTATGTTATTTGAAATTTAGCATGGTCTTCTATGGGTTGAGAAAATGATTTATCTTCTTATTCTTTTACTGTAATCTGTTCTTTATTCATTTCTGACAAGAGCACACTGCGGATTGAAGCTTTTCGATCAGTCCTGCCACTAACTTATCTTATCTTTTGTTGACAAGCATTTGCCCTTGTAATCATTATCAGGGTTGTCAACCAGGAAATTTGAACAATGAGTTGAACAGGTAGGTCACATTACACAACATAAAAAAAGCTTATTGCATAATTTACCTTTAAACATTTAAAGAATTAAAGCTGCATTAAGCAAAAGTCTTATATTAACAATGGATCAAATTACTATGAGAGATGTGTGTCACAAACCACAAAAACAACTATCCTATGACCGAGCTGTGAGGTTGCTCTTACTTTTTGATATGCTTTGGACTTATAGTTCTGGTTTTTCAACCCCCAGGTTCTGCTCTGGTCCACCTTGTTCCCAGCAGCAGCAACAGTAACGCTTTGACGAACCCATTGTACAATATTTTCCACTATCAAATGGCCATTATTTTATTCCAAAT